CGCGGGGCCCGACCCGCCCGGGGCGCTCGTTAGCACCGCGCGCTGTAATTAGCGGCGCCGATCACAGCCCGGCAGGGACCGCTTCGCCCGGAGCAACGCGCTCGGGCGCTGCTCCAGGTAAGCGCCGCAGCGCCAGGAGCGCAGCTGATACAGGTCTAACCAACATAGCGATCTGGGTCACTGCCTTCAAATAGTGCCGCAGCAGAGATGAGTACCTGGGAGAGCCTATGGAGACAGAATCGCCTGCTCGCAGCAGAATCTTCATTTGAAGTGCTTCACTGCTGGATATAGCTTTGAGAGGCACAGAGCTTGCTGCCTCCTCTCCTGCAGGAAGCTGAAGGGGATGTGACCAGAACCCTCTTTAACCTGCTGCTACTGAGGATGCTGCTGCATGGCACAAGTTAAAGCAGGAACATCAACACTCCATCCTTCAACTTCAGTTGTGCTGTTTGGTCCTTCAGCACCACAGGACGTTAGACTAACTAAAAGCAAGTGCTTACCAATTCAGGTGCCTGCTGCCAGCGGAGCAAAGCCCAAGACAGAGCTATCTGACTGCTATCCTGGAAGCAGATTTTAGGCTCCTCCTCAAAGTTTACACACTATGACCCAGTGGAGGCTGCTGCAGTACAGCCCCTACTTTCACAGACATCCCCCTCTAGTCTTTTAGAACTTGAAACTGTGAGTGGCCAGGCCCTAACAAAGAAAATCAAGGGAAGGATTTTCATCCATTCAGCTTATCTTATTCGTCCTTCCATGACAGACCCTTTCCCTCTGTGAAGGCTGTAAAATTGGCCTTGAACAGCACACCAGCCTTGTATCTGCCCTGCTAAAGGCAACTGTCACACTGCACAGCGGGTTCAGTTAGCAAGAATGCAACTTCACAGAATAAAGCCCCTGTGCCATTTCACTTCATGGCATTTACTAAGTGCAGAGTTCTCAGGCTGTACTTCCAGATGCCCCAAGCCCAGCAGGTAGGGTTGGCAGACTTACCCACTCATGGAATGACTGCAGGAGCTGCACGGAGGAGACCAAGTATTTTTCAGTTACTGGACAAGAGAAAAATCAGTCTTGACATACATTTATTATTTCCACTCTAGTGGATGAAAAGTCTGTACAAAACCAAACATTTCCATTACTTACTCAAGCCAATCTAGGTACAGTCAGCTCAACCAAAACCCACTACAAATACAATAGCTTCTCTGAAGCCATGGTAACACTTAAATACGGTTAAGACTTCAATGCAGAAATTTGGTTTGTTAGAAAGCTCAAGGGAGCTTTAGCTTCTCATAGTTACAAAAAGGCAAAATTGTGTTTCACAGATACAGTCCACTGGAATCACCAACACTGGACAATTAAGTACTTTGAGTCCTGAGATAACAAGGAATCCTGGTAGCCTTTAGACAGTCTTCTGTTGTCCTTTCTTGCCAATGAGAGACTTATGGATATGTGGTATTACACCTACAAAAGAGCAACAATTAAGACCATTCATTTTCCTGAACTCCATACTTGCATAAAATGACAGCCCCAAGCAACCCTAGTCTGTGAGAGTTCATGCCATAAACATGAACTCACCACAAACAGTTATGAAGCAATTTACATACCACCACCAGCAATTGTTGCTTTAATCAGAGAATCTAACTCTTCATCTCCTCTAATGGCAAGCTGCAAGTGACGGGGAGTGATACGCTTCACCTTCAAGTCTTTGGATGCATTTCCTGCCAGCTCAAGAACCTGAGAGAAGAACATTTTTAAATAGTTACACAACCAAATGAGTCCAACTGCAGACTCAGCTGTTTGATTCTCTATGCCCAATACTGTGTCACTGTTAGGGACAACGAGACAGCAAACAATGCCTCTTCTGAAAGGGTTCCTCCTTTGGAGCTCTGCACTGAGTTCCCCCAATAACAGTGTTTCACAGTAGACAGGACACACTGTAATAGCCCATTTTATAAGTCACTTGCATTTTTCCAACCAGTCACAGGCCAAGATTTGCACAAAATGCATGTTTCCTGGTCTTCTAATGTAGCATGAACTTAAAAGTGCCTCAAAGCAAGGGAAGAGTTCACAACTCAATCTGCACTAGCAAAATACAGTAGGTTCTGGTCACTGTACCATTTGGGAATTGACCAATGTGCTTGCACCCCTTGCAAGAATTTTACCTCAGCTGTCAAGTACTCCAGGATTGCAGCACTATACACAGCAGCTGTGGCTCCTACACGCCCGTGGCTGGTAGTCCTAGACTTCAGGTGCCTGTGGATTCGGCCAACAGGGAACTGGAGAATAACATAAGTACGATCAGACGATGATGACAAAAAGCCACTGCACAAAGTCATATCGCGGGCTGCAGAAGCTCAGGCTGCATTTTAAAACTTGGGGATCTAGTTAAGAACATACAAGCCACACTCCCATCAGCAACTTCACCACCTTAAGCACAAGCAGCAGCAACAGCTACACGAGAATTACAGACACATATAAATATAGATATGCAAAAAGAGTGGAGACAGATAGATGCGACGTCTGGCTGGAGATCCTCACACCACTGAGGGCAAGAGCAGATCGTGCAGACTTCACACGGTACAACCACGAGCAAACGGAAGCCCAGCCTGGCTTTCACTCATCCTGTGCTTCCCACCTGCAATCCAGCCCGCTGAGAACGGGACACTGCTTTGGTCTTGGTCTTCCCGGAGTCCTTCCCAGCTTTTCCGCCAGCCTAGCGGTGGGAGAGGACAGCATGAACCGACACCGCCCCTGCCTCAGTCCGCGCATGCG